AAAAGTTCAGGAAGTTAAAGAAGTGTAAAATCGAAGAGTTGGCACAACTAATAGGTTCTTTAGTGGCTTGCTGCCCGGCCATTCAATATGGTTGGGCGCATATTAAAAAGTTAGAAAGAATAAAATACTTAGGCCTTTTAAAAGCCAGTGGTAACTATAAGGCTATTATATGTTTAAATACAGAATTACAGGACGACCTTTTATGGTGGGCACGGAATGTGTTATAAAGAGTCGCGAGTATCGCGTGTACAAGTTGAATATTTTTTCAGACGCCTCTCGTACAGGTTGGGGCGTGTCGTGCGACACAGGTAGAGCTCATGGCCAATGGGATAATTCAGACAAATTACACCATATCAATTACCTAGAATTACTATCAGCTTTTTTCGGACTAAAATGTTTTGCTAGGGATCTCAGAAATTGCAATATTCTATTAAGGATTGATAATACGACAGCGATTTCTTACATAAACCGTATGGGCGGTGTTAAATTCAAGAAACTAAGTAGTCTTGCTAGGTCCATTTGGGAATGGTGCGAGGAACGCGAAATATATGTTTTCGCGTCGTATATTTCGTCAAGTAATAACAAAGAAGCAGACTTTGAGTCAAGAAGGTTAGATAACGAAACGGAATTTGAATTATCTGAGATAGCCTTTCGCAAGATAGTTAGGAATTGGGGTTACCCAGAAGTAGATCTTTTTGCATCAAGAGTCAACGCAAAGTGCAAAGACTATGTCTCCTGGAAAAGAGACCCCGGCTCAATAGCGGTCGATGCTTTTACTTTAGACTGGAATGGATTCTTTTTTTTTATGCTTTTCCTCCTTTTATCTTAATCACTAAGGTTTTGCAACAGATTAAATCGGAAAAGGCAGAGGGTTTAGTTGTGGTGCCACAGTGGCCAGCGCAATCGTGGTTCCTCTTATTCCGCTCATTACTGGAATCGGAACCGTTGATTTTCAAACCCAACAGAAATAATTTACTCTTCCCTGACAGAGAACCACACTCTCTCTGGAAGACACTTACCCTGGTAGCAGGGAAGTTATCAGGGAAGCGTTTCGGATAAAGGGCATCCCAGAAGAATCCATAAAGATTTTTATATCTTCCCTAAGCGAGTCATCCCTTAAGCAATACGACGCCTCTTTGAGGAAATGGTGGTTGTTTTGTACAACAAGGAGATTACCTTTATATAGAGTAGAGGTGTTAAATATCATTAAGTTTCTAACCTTGGAATATGAAAAAGGAGCGTCTTATGGATCGCTTAATTGCACTCGATCCGCTATTTCGCTTATTTCAGGCCCAGAGATTGGGAAAAACGAAATAATTAGGAGATTTTTCAAGGGGCTATCGAAATTGAGACCCCCAGAGCCAAAATACGATTCCACTTGGGATCCGAAGACAGTTTTAGATTATTTTAAGGAACGCTCAAATAAAGATTTAGCTTTAGAGAAACTCAGTAAGAAATTAGTGACGTTGCTAGCGTTAGTATCAGACCAAAGAATGCAGACTTTATCATTAATCGACTTAAGAAACATAGTTATAAAGAAAGACTTAATAGAAATTAAAATTCCAGATAGAATTAAAACGTCTAAACCAGGATCAAAACAACCAATAATTGCTTTACCCTTTTACAAGAAAAACCTGAATATTTGTCCCGCTAATACGTTGCAAACTTACATAAGAAAGACCAAAGAACTCAGGAAAGATATCAATGCCTTATTCATATCTTTTAGAAGACCTTTTAAGAAAGTGTCGACT